CTGCGACACGAAGGCACGGTCCGGTGCCGGGGGCGGAAGCCGCAGGCGGCGCTGCACAAGTACAACGAGGCCGTCAGCTTGGGTAAGCGCTGGAAGTAGGTCAGGGGAGCAGCGCGTTGTGTAAGGCCCGGCCCGGCCCGGCCCGGCCCCTCCTCCGCGCCGTTGTGTAACCGGGGAGGCGGCCGGACCCCGGCCTGGGTGGCTCGGGTTTCAGCCCGCTGGAGAGCGACTCCTGTCCCGTCCCGTCCCGTCCCATCCCATCCCGTACCCCCCGGCTGAGCCCCCTGACCTAGTTTTGGAGAGGGATCTGCCTCGCAAATCGTCTTGGGGGCAGCCCCAGAGCTTGGAAAGCAGGTGCTTGCTCCAACTAGGTCCGCACCGAAAGAGAGAGAGTTTCCCCCTCCGGCAGAGCAGTGGAAGATGCTGCTCCGCACCGCGCAGGAGTTGCAGTAATGCGGTGCTGAGCTCAGCCCCGTGCTGGTCCCTGCCCAGGTTGTGCAACCACAAGTTTTGTTTGATTAGTTGTACAAACCTCCCCGCGTCCTCTGAATCTAGACCTTAACCAGGAATTGGCTGGTTAAAAAGAAGGTAAACATCTCATTGTAATGAAGGAGCACTTGAAAGAAGAAGGAGGAAAAAAAAGACTTGATTTTTAATCTGGGACCAGGCTGTGCCTAGGTATTGCATCACGTAGCAGGGCTGGGGTGAGGTAATATTTATCTGATCCTGGTAGTTCTCATTTAATTTCCTTGACTGATAGGTTCAAAAGACCCCGATGCGTCGCTTTCAAAGCTTTGATCCTAACCCCTTTGTAAAGGGAGCTAATTTAAATTCCTGCCTTCCCTTTGGCAATGTTATAATTATGTCATCTTTAATCTTCGTTCATGGAAATTGACCAAAATCTGATCCTCCGCCTAAGCGGGTAATGTTTGCGAGCTGCTGTGGATGTTCTTTCTGCCGTGTTTCCATCAGTTATGTAATACAAATCGCACCTCTTATGGCTAGAATACCCGAGAGAGCTGCTGTGCCTGCTTGAGTTCTTGGTTGTTTAAATAATACTTGCTTTTCTGATACAAATGCTTTTTTTCCCTGATCGTTTTAGAAACAGGGTTGTAAAGAACAGGTCCATGTGCTATTACAGTCATTATAACAAGTCAATGTTTGTATTGCTTACAGCTCCAAATGACTACTTATTATATAGCAACCGGTCCCAGATCAACTCTACGTTGAAAGCCTGTGAAGATGCACTGCGTGATGCAGAAATGGCATGTAGGCTCCAGCCATATTGGTTGAAGGTAAGTTTTTGTTTTTGTTTTTTAATGCTGAAATCTTTGGCTTTCCCAGTGCCATGGGAAGGAAGAGCTGACCCGGAGAGCTGCTACAACGCTGCTAACACCCTAGGCCAGTAGACCAGCACACCATGGAGATCTGACTGAGGTCTCTGAGTCAGGAAAGGGCTGAAGTAAGGAGCAGTGCATGCAATTACTGTAGTCTGATCCAGTAATCATAATTGCCTGTGATCTTGGAGGAGGTCAGATCTACGTGTTATGCCAGAAGTCGAGCACTGTGCTTCCTTCTGCTGTCTAGAACAGGGGTGGGCAAAATTCAGCTTGCGGAGGGATTTTTGTCCAGCCTGAAGTGGGTCTCTCGGTCCTGCTCAGCCCAAGCATGGGGGGGCAGCCTGGGTTGTGCGTGTGGCCAGAAACATCACCCACCCCGAGCACGCAGCGGGGCTGAGGCAGCATGGTCACCCCGGCAGCCCCAGCAGCAGTGGCTCCTTTCAGCTGCTGCCACTGCTGGACCCAGCTCTGCTGCCCAGGCGCCCTGGCCCATCTGCCTCATGCCCACCACCACGGGCAGGATTTACACAGGTCAGGTGGATGGGAGGGGGCTCTGGCTGGGCAGGGGGCAGTACCCAGGAGCAGGACAGGCAGGTGTGGCTGGGTTCACATGGCAGTGACATCGTGAGGCCAGGGCCTGAGACAGAGCCACAATCTACTTCCTGCATGTCCCTGAGACGGGCAGGGGTGAGCAGATTGTGGCTCTGCTCTGGGATCCAGCCCTGTGCTGTCACCGCCCAGTGATCCCAAGATCCCCCTGGAGACCATTTGGTTCCCACACGGACAGGGCATGTAGCCAGGCAAACGGGATGGGGCCATGGGCAGGCAGGGAGCTGCATCTGGGAGCAGGGACAGGCGCCCTGCCAATCCTGCTCCTGGATGCTGCTCCACACCCACCTGCGGCCCCATTGCAGGCGCCTGGCTAAGCATGGAGCAGAGCCACTTAAGGAGTTTTGGTGAGTGGTTGTGGAGTGGGGGGTACTGACCTGACCCGCGACAGCTCACCAAAACTCTCTGTGGCCCTTGAGCCCAAATAATTGCCCACCGCGGTCAAGAAGGCAGCACTGAGAAGCAGAAGAGGGGATTAAAGTGTGGACTTGCGTTCTCCCAAGATAAAGGAGGGTCCTGAAAAGTGACAGGGTACCAGCCTTCAACTGGGTCCAGATGCTGTGAACTTTAATGTGTATGTGGGAGGCAGGGAGGTGATATTCTCGCAAGAGAAGTAAATATGGAAAATGTTCATGTTGTTTCTAGCTGGAAGCTCAAACTCTGATCCTGTGTTGGTAACCCAGACTGTTCTAATGCTGCTTTGTGCCTAGTTTTATTTAAACTTCAGCACAGTAAAGTGTTTTGGTTTTTCGCATTTAAACTGTTGGGTTTTTATCAAACGGGCTTTAAAAATCTGATAAGAGAAAAGAAACTAGAATCATGGACCTGTTTTCTCTCAGGGTCGCTTAAGGAAAGGACAAGCATTAGCTAATCTGGGAAAAACAGAAGAAGCTTTAAGAGAGTTTCTCTTCTGCCTTGCCCTGGATATTGGGAACAAGACAGCCAAGTCAGAGGCTCAGAAGGTGAGTTCCTTAGATCTTGTGCAGCTTCACTGCTTTATCATATTGATAATTGCTTGCTCTTAAAAAAGAAAGCAGAAGTTATTACGTAGAGATGGCTTGGAGAAAACATGGTCTGCAGTGCTGTTCCTGTGTGTTCAAATTGTTTTGTGTTGGTTGCTGTACTTAAGGCGCAGCTTAAGTGACAATAGCAAGAGAGCCTCTCCACCCCCAGTGGGTAGACAGTCTGATTTGTAGCTTTGAAATAAAGAGATGTTAAAAATCAGTGGAGGGTTAGTATTGCTAAGAGGACTCCCAGACTCCCTGTATTCACATTTCCCACCCTAGACAGGTGCTATCGACTGGAGAAGAGGAGAGAGTATCTAGTTAATATTGTATCAACTGATAGACTAAAAATAAAGAGCAACACCATTAGAACTCCGCTTGGGAGCAGCATCCCTCTTTCCCCAGCCACTGATGTGGCTCTGAGCACAGCACATGGAGAAAGCATGAGAGGAAACAGAGTAAACAAAGGAAAAGTGCTATTTTAAAAACTGCTTATGAGGTTACTAATAACTAACGATAAATAGGCAATACGACAGATCTGAAATAAGCCTGTTCCTGTAGCAAACGAAGTTAAGGGAGCATCCGTTGTGTTTTTTCTTTAGAGGGATACTGCCAAGATTGCTAATCCTACTTTAAAGACTTCTAGAAATTGTTCCATGTGTTAGCTCTCGTGGCTTCCATCCGTGGTGTGTGCGCTTTTGTGTGCTTGCCATTTTTGTTTTGCTTAAAGCAGGGCTGCCCAGCCGATGGCCTGTGGGCTACATGCAGCTTGCAAAGGGTTCATCTTTCCACCCTCCCCCACTGTTGTTTCCCCTGGCCACCACCACCGCTCCCCGCATCACTCTGCCACCACCGCAGCTGGGCTCTCTGGCCTCCCACTCTCTTCTCTCTCCAGGCTGCAGGACAGCCTGCAGTGCTGGGGGAGCCTGAAGCCAGGGTGGGGGCACTGCCCAGCCACGCTGTGTAGGGAGCAGGGGAGAGCCATCTGCCCATGTGGTGCTAAGGGAGGTGGATGGGGAAGGCATGACCCCGGTGGTGCGGCCTCTGGTGTGTGGCCCCCAGCTGCTAAGAGGTTGGCTAGCCCTGGTTGAAAGTAATCTTTGTGCCTATAATCAATTTCTGCAATAATGATCATTGCGGTGAAAACCAACCCACACCTTACTGTCCTGATATGAACTTGCACCAGTTTTTCTACCCCACATTTGGTTGGGTGGATTTGGGCTAAAGAAAAAGGCTCTCGGATGAGCGCTGTAATGAGAAGGATTTTCTAAACGCTGTGGGTGAAATTGTTGGAATAAGCGCCCATAACTATCGGTGTGCTCCAGACAGTTGACACTTTTCAGCCCTATTCTTCCATGTTTTGTGTGCAACTCTAGATGCAATAGTTATTGTGTTTTCCTGACTTGTCAGCATGTTCCTTCCCTAAAATGCAGTCTCATGCATTGTCATTGTATCAAGCAAGGCTCTCATAGTGATGACGTGATGCTTCCTGTGTGTCAGAGCCGGAAGATGTAACAAACTGATACATTTCTAGATTCACACTCAAAATAGCCTTTGCCAAGAAAGCTATTTCTTTCTCAGCAGTAGGGTCCTGAGGATAATCTAGGCTCTTTGTTATGGGAAGAACTGCTTACATGGAGAGTCTATCAATGATACAAGTATCTATTGGATTACTTCCAAAGCTGTTTGCATAACAGTGACATGGCTGCTTTTAGCAAATCCTTCCAATGCAAATCTGATTTTTTTCTGCTCAGTGTAATTAGTGGCCTTCATTAAAATTACTCTTAGGAGAGTCTGATCCTGCAGCCCATACTCACATGAGGAATCTCTTTTGACTTCCAGAAGACTATTAATAATACATGATGTGCCGTCTTCTCAAACATCAATGCTGCAGGATCAGACCAGAGGCATGGTGAGACTATTGTGGCCTTTTAAAATACAGGGATTTTTTTTAACCCTGCTTATTTGATATTTTATATCCGTGGTCATTTGGCAAGTTGCGCTACGCTAACAGCCAACAATTTGCTGCTGGATGTTGGAGATTCATTTGTATTGACATGCAGAGGCCCTGAATGGTTTTCATCTCTGCAACTTTTTGCTGTATTCCCACTGTTTCTCCCTGAACACATCCCCCTGTTTGCATAGTGAGGCATTTGATCAAGCCTGGACCTGTGGGAATGCCCTCAACTTCCAGTGTCTCCAGTGGGAATTATGGCACTCAGCATTACCTTGTTTAAGAAACCTATTACATGCTTCTAGCAGTAACTGCGGGTGAGGTTTCAATAGAACTCTAGACTTCAGAACTAGTGGATTTTCATAAGTATGTAAGCATTCCCCTAATAGCACATTGGCACATTTAATTCTGAAAATGAAGCCTCTGCTTTTTGAGCCTACGTTGCACCACCTTGTATGTGTGTGTCTGTTTTGTTTCCATCCTAGACCTACTCAGTTGTTTGCCAGGACTCCTTAAATGCTTTTGCAAATCAACGGTGCTTCTTGCAGCTGTTCCCCTCCCCGCAGTCCCCGCTCTTTCCCTTAGAGATTGCAAGGGAAGAACTAAGTAGTGAAGTATTCTGTTTTATATCACAGCTTCTACTTAGTTTATTTTCACTCATCCCGGGAAATGCTCAGGAGCACTTACCCGATATCCTGCAGCTGTTGTCACCTCACTCTAGATTAAAGGGGAGCCTTCTAAATTCAGTGGGATCTGGAGGCACCAGCCATAACCTACAAAGGTTGCTCAAGGTAAAGCTAAACTCTGATGTGTAGTTCTTACTTTTGCTGTGTGTTTATGTACAGTTTGGAGAGTCTTTCCCTCCCTTTCCCCCTCTGCCCCCCACATCTGGAAGAATGAATAATGCATTTTCCCAGATTTGTTTTTGCTGAGATTCAGAACACGTGTTATCAACAAGCTGAACAGCTGTAGGAATGGAAAATGCAAGATGCAGCAAGCTGCTATTTATGGATTCATTTAAATGATGCCTAAAAAGGAAGGTCATCTTAGAATTCAAAAAAGAGCTCTTTATCCTTATATGGGCTGGGTCCCCTCCCTCTACTTTTTTTCTAGTTTGTCATAATTGCCGTAACTATTGATAAAATCAACAAAAGTTCTCAGTTTTCCATGTTTATAACAAAGAAGCACCTCTATTGTGAAACTTGGAATAGAGATACCTCCAACCTTTTTGAGAGCTTCTGATATAAGGTTTGGCTTGGGCCATACTGGTGATAGGCCAGCAGTGGTATTCCTGTATAGATTTGGACTCCAAATTCATTCCAGTCAGAGACTATGGTACAGCCCACTATAAGGAGGTGGGATTTGCATACGTTTGATTTGGAGACATAGTTTGCTAATACTTGCAGGTGCTAGAACCCAGGTATTTGCATCAAGACCATCTTTAGAGCATTCATATCTGGTACTCTGAGAATGTACATGCCTTTATAGCTGTAGGATAACTTTTTAGTAATCCCTGGAAAATTTAACTCTGTTGAAGAGACCCCTAATCAGTGGTGGTCTCCTGCGGAGGCATTTTGGTCTTACTGAAGACAAACTTTTTAAATGGCCATCCCATCATGAGGTTGGTTATTTGTGGAGAAAAGGGGGTAATTGATCCCTTTTCTCCCTCGTGTATCCTGCCTGGCCACATACCATTGTGGTGCCTAACAACTGACCTCCAGCGTATACATTTAAATTCACCTGGGAAAGTGGTCCCTTTATTTGACATGAAAAATGGTTAGTGATGTTGGTTAGATGCTATTTCTCATGACTATTATATGGCAATAGTAGGATTAAAAAGTACTCTGAAAAAAGTACCAGGTTTATGACTTGTTCTAGCCAAAAAGCATACATGCCATGAGCCCATTTTAGCTATTTGTGCAGACTTTTAGGTGCATTTTTTTTTTTATTAGTTGTTCTGTGCATATGCTTCTCCCTTAAAATAAGTCATGTGGTGTTAGTCTCTGAAACCAGAAATATCTGAACCTAAAATCAGCCAGATGGATTTTTCCGTAGGTTAGGTAATAATGACTAACAGGCTGAGTCTTCAATAAAATTCTGCCTGACTCAAGTTTTATGGTCAAGTTATAAAACCAAAGAAATGTTACCAGCTTGATAGAAGGGGAAGACTGCTCTGGTGGGAAAGGGGTTTCGATTGAAATTAAGGCCCTGATGCAGCAGTTCTCAGTCTGTGAGCCACTGGTTTGCAGAGCCTTTCCTGGTGGTCCACAACATGGAAAACATTTTGAGAGCCAGGCAGGAAAGTGGGTCTGTGAGAAGAGTCTTCTCTTCCAAAGTTGTCTGCAGAATGAAAATGTAGGGGAGTTGTGCTCCTGATGTATGATCCTCTCTTTCATCCAGGTAAATGTGGAACACAAAAAGAGTTTTCCTGCTCACGAGGAACAAAATGTGACTAGTTTGAGAAAATCAGTGCAAGTGACGGAGATTAAAAGAGACTGCTCAGAAGATGAGAACACACATGCCTCCGTCCCGGAGTCCGCCTTTCTCATTTCTGAGAAATGCAGCCTTTTGAAAAGAAAGTGCTGCTCTGAAGACATGAGAAGTGCTGAGGTGCCCTGCAAGCGCACAAAGAAAGGTAACCTGTTTCATTCAGTGAGGGCCTACTCCTGTTTTCATGAAGTTGATGGGAGTTTTGCCTGACTAGACAGCTCCAAGCTTGGACTTCAGTTTTCATCTCTTCCCTATTCCTGTTCCCCCTGTAAAAATAATTACACTAATAAATCTAGAGAGGGACAACAAAGATTAGGCCTACCAGTTGCGTGGTGAGTCCCGTGACAACTACCAGTGCCGTATATGGTTAGGTACTAGTTGATAACAGTAATATAATCAAGTTTTAAAATGCTGTATTTGTAAGGCACAGATGCTGGAATTATATTTTTTTTCCTAACGTCACCAAGATCATGGAAGCCCTTGGTTTGATTCTCCTGCTGTTCAATGGACTTAGATTGATTGAACAGGAACATCTGGCCCTTTTGCATGCTTCCAACACTGAGTGTGGGGTTGTGGTCGCACTCTGTCAACACAGGACCAAATTCCACTGAGGCTAATGGAGTCCGGCCCACTTATGCCAAGATTAACTTGTGCAGCAAATTCCATTTCATGATTCTAACATTTCAAAAATTGCTTATAAATAAATGCAGTCCTTGATCACAGTACAGTTAAAAATCAGATGCATTTGCAAACACATAATAAAGCATTGTCTCTGAAATGTTAAGCGGTTCCCCCCGCTGTCTGGTTATGTATTCTAATACGATTTTTTTTCCACAATTATATAATAGGCACAGTAGATGCCAAGGGATCTAATGCTGGGCACCACATTTCATTTGAATTTGTGGATCCATCTGACCTGGATTGCTCTTTGTGCATGAGGTAGCCATTATTTTCTCATGGATATGTTTAAAGCTATATCTTTTCCACTGATACAATCTACAAACATTGTCTAATTTACTTGGCTATTTATTTTTCTGATTTAGAAACTGGGGCTTTCTGTATAACGTCGTATCCCATACCATGCACACTTCTAATTATTTGGTTCTGAACAGTGTGTGTGGATAGGGATCTTCTGATGTCCCAGGTGAGAAATAGTTTGTGCTTGGCAAAGGACATCCAAGTTTGTTGGGTTTAAATGCATTGTGGAACATGACTGAAAGATTTCTTTTTACCAGCTACACAGACTCCCATCCACGTATTACACAGAAATCCACCACTCGTTCTTGGCAGTTAGTGTAACTTAAGCCACGTGTGATTTTTCCCCCCCCCCCAATAACAAAAATATTTGACAAGTAAATGTCTGTATAAATGCTTAGTTTGCATGTGAAATAGTGTAGTGTAGCAACAGCAATATTAACGTCTACCAGGCAAACAAAGTTCACTAGTCAGTGGTTGATTGGCTCATTTTGCAGAGAGGTGGGAACACCCTGGCCTCAAAAAAATAAAATAAAATAAAATAAAATCTGGATTTGGGGTCAGGTTTTCTTGTTTGAAAAGGTAGTTTGCCCATGCTTAAAACGGTTTCAAAACAAATTGAAATAACCTTAAAAAAGATGTGGTGAGACTGTTGATTTTCTGCTTGGAACAAACTGTTAAAAGCAAAAGGATGATCAGAAGTCTCCGAAACCTTGACTGCTGCCGAGAAAACATCTCCGTTCCTTTGCAACCCCCCTCAGTTCCCCATATAATTAGTTTAGTTGTTTTAATAAAACAGGTTTTCTGCGAACTAGTTTTCAGACGTATTTAGTAGAATTAATTAGTCCTGCTTATTTGTATTCCCTGTTAAACCAAAAATAGCCTGAATCATTACTCCTGAGCATTAAGATGACTTAAATATAAAAACCTATGTTAAAAAGGAACCTGTTGCAGGGCCTCTTTCTTGCCAGTGCTACTAATGCATGTTGGTTTCAATAGTTATTATGTGTTATGCAACTCAGATATACCTTATCTAAGACTTAGCAATTGTGATACCTTGGATTAAATGCCTACTAACCTACTGACCTATTAACCAATTAACTGCAGGAGCTATTATTAGCCCATTTAATTTGCCCAAGTAGCAAGCTGTTGTATCCAATTCAGTGGCATACAAAAAGCAGAGGCAAAAATAAGGGAGTCTCTCATGAAGGAGTAAGCATTTGGTTGCTGCTGTATTCATAAGCCTTTCCATATGATATATATACCTGCCTCTGGCTTATGCGGTTCAATCCAGCTCTGACAGCAAAACTCCACTCCCATTAGCTGCTGTAAGAGCTGGATCAGGACTATGTATTCTGACAAGCATTTTCCTGTTCTGTGCCATCATTTGACGCTAGCTTGGTCCAAGTACATAACTAAGATGTTAAATATGCAAACTTACTAACTGAAAGATATTTTAGAATTTTGTATTTTAAGTATTTAAACGAAAAGGATATTTGTTAAATAACTGATCTAGTGGAGATTTGGATTATATAACTGACTAGCAACAAGATTGCTGTGGCCTTTGGATACTTTTTTCATATGCTCCCCTGTTAAATGTCAGTATTTATAGCAGCTAATGAGAGGTGATGAACTGGTTATGACCATTTTTGTTAAGAGCTAATTATTTTCTTAAACTTAATTTATGTGATGCAGCAATTAATAAGCTTAAAGTTATGAATACAGCTTCCACACACACACACACACTAGCAACCAGGTTTACCTTTTTGGTTAAGAAAACAATTATTGTGGTTTAAGAAGTGACTTCACTATATCAATTGAATTATTTTTTTTTGTCCAACTGAATTGCTTGTTAGGATATAACATTTAGAGTGTCTTGTTTGGTTTTTGGTTTGTTTTGCTTTTCCTATTTTGATTTTTAAATCAAAGGGAATGGTTTGGAAATATCTCCCTTTTTAGTTTGAGATGTTATTGGTATACAGAAGAGAGAAATCTTTGTAACGTGTCTTCATATTTTTCACACTTGAATGCTTGTTACCTGCAAAGGATCTCTTTAGAATATATAACATAAATTTAGCCAAAAAAAGAGGCAATTAATATGAAAATAAAATTACAGTGAATGTGATGAGAGTTAAGATCCTAAACAGCTTTTAAAAACAAGGGCCTGCATGTATAGTATTGTTTTGAAGGGATATGAATCTTTTGTGTATTTGTATTTGAGGGCATTCAAAGGTAAAAGCTCTGTATTCAAACCAAATTAAATTTCCCGATATTAGCTTTAGCAATGACATTTTTCATTTTATTAAATTGTGTGTGTCCTAGCAGTACAAACGGTCCTGTTCTGTGTTTGGTTGGGTATGTAAAACTAATCTTGCTGCCGACTAAATGAGTAATGGTTTTCAGAATCGGGGCCTTACTTTTAATTCTTCCTTTGAAGGTCCTATCTTCTACTGACTCTCCTCCCCCTCAAGACACAAACTGAAATTTTGTGAGGGCCAGGATTTCAGTCACCCCCTTCCACACTGGCTAGGCAACGGGGAACTCCCTAGTTAACTACGTTCAAAATTCAAGGTGGGGAGAAAACAATAAGCAAGGAACAAATGTCCCCCGGCAGTGCAGAAAACTGTAACTACTGACTAGCTATGAAAAGAAGCTGTTTTGTAACAGCCTTTTCTCTTATTTTTGCTACACGATATTGTTGTCTTTTGTTTTTGGTTGTTCTGTTCCAGGCTTTTCTATGAACCTGTCACCACGCCCTGTGGACATACCTTCTGCCTGAAATGTCTTGAAAGATGCCTAGATCACAACCCAAAATGCCCCCTGTGCAAAGAAGGCCTTTCTGAGGTAACAACATACAAATGTAATCGGTATAAATTGCAAAGAACAGATGAGGTGGGATAGACTGACTAAGCGCGCACCACCGCCACTTTCTCAGCACTGACACGCATTTCGCCACCTATACAACTAAGCGTTGCAGCACCAGGTGCTTTTCAAAGCACCTGGCGCGGCGGCAATTTGCATGTGTAAAAATGCCCATTAAATGTACAGGAAGGTCGCTGGGGGCTTAAAGTAGGTCACAAGGAAGAAATGGCTTAGTGACCTCTAATCTATAATAGAGGTGACGCATGCTGTTCACAGACAACTACACTGGGTGTGGGTCAATAAAATGTAGCACTGCAGCCATTGCTGGACATTGTCTGATAATTGCTTAATTGTGACTCCTTGTTGTAGTGTTTGGCTATGAGGAAATACTGTAAGACAGTACTGATGGAGGAGTTAATCGCTAAGTATCTTCCAGAGGAACTCACTGAAAGAAGAAAAGTGTATGAAGAGGAAATTGCAGAGCTTTCCAAGTATGTGAGCATTTCATTTATTAAATGCAAGCCTTTAACATGAGTTTTGCTAACTACTGAATAGTTCCCATTGCTGTGGAACATGCCATAAGGGATCATGAAGGGTCTTACTCTGTTTCATTTTAGTCAGAGGGCAGTTCAGAAAGTTTAAACCTACTGTGTATTTGGCAGCAGGGTGTCTAAACCCTCCACTTGGCTGCAGGTAATAACTGAAAACAAGAGGAAACTTAAGGCCATAATTCTCAGTGTGTTGTAGTGACACTGACTTCTGTTGACTTTTGATGCAGATCAGAAAGTTGAGTGGGTAGAAATGAAATTTTGCACAAGAGATTCGTTGGAAGGAACATGTGAATCGGGAACCTGTGTGTAGGGTAGGGGGAGTCTTAAAGAAAATACAAGCTAAAAAGCAGCCCATAGGTATAAGACTCCTTCCTGCAAAGCAAGAAAGAGTAATTTTAAATATCCCCCCCCC